TACCCCACATGTGTCAAACGCAAGGCCCGCGGGCCACATCCGGCCCGCGAGATCATTTTCTTTTAACGGCCTGGCGATATGAGGCGCCGATAAAACACAAACTACAAATCCCATAATGCAGCGCAACAGCTGCCTTACCAAACGATAGGCAACCTGCGATCATTCCCACGTCAATTGTCACATCAATCAAGCGTCTGTTGATGTATACAACCCTAATTTCAAGTCAAAGCTAGCCCCTAACAATGGTCAAGTGAAAAGTTGATTCTGAAAACAGAGCCTTTCAAAACCGTTGGGAGGCTGAGTATATATGTTTACTGACATTACCGGTAAACTTGTGTGTCTTATTTGTGGAGCTAATGTGGCTGTAATTAAGGAATATAACCTAAGACGGCACTACGAGACAAAACATCAGGACAAGCTGAGAAACGTGAATGCAGAGCAGAAGCTACACAAGGTAGAGGAGTTGAAGAGGAATCTGACATCACAGCAGACGTTTTCACCAAAGCGAAATCACACAGTGAAGCTGCTGTGAAAGCAAGTTTTATTGTGGCAAAGGAGAAAATCAGCTCAGCCATTTACCGAGGGAGAGTTTCTGAAGAGCTACATGATTTCAGTGTGCGACCTCTTGTGTCCAGACAAAAAGCAGGTGTTTGCAAATGTAAGCCTTAGCAGAAATATGGTTGCTGATTTTAAGTTCAAGTTTATTTATTTAGGAATAATATTGTATCCTGTCTGTTTTCATCCATATTTATTTTCAAAAAACGTTTAGTTTTAGTCTATTCAATAAATTTTTATACTGTTCGGCACCGACCTAAAGTGTGCTTTGAGTTTTGGCCCCCTGTGAGATTGAGTTTGACACCCCTGGTGTAGGGTGACCTGGCAGATCCCTGCTCCATTATTATGAGTATATCTCTCAGCTATCATGTCATTACAAGCAAGAGTAATGTTTAAAGAGAGGAAGGAGGAAAACCCAGTGCACACTAAAGTCATCCTGTGTTTGACTGCACAAGTGCAAACACAACATGCATGCCTGTTTTCTTATTTTCTGGGAACATAAAACAGGTTTTGTGGAGAATTTTCTGGAAAAGCCAGTCTCTCAGTTCCCCATTACAGACAGCTGCGTAATGTTTGAACTAGTAGTGCATTTTAAACTTGGACAGTGAAGCATGGCTCCTCATTGAGATAAAACTGACATTTTTAAGGCACAGTGATTGTGGTTTAAGTCATATATATAGTACTGTATGAAAGTTTTATTCTTCAGTTAACTTCATACAACGTGCAGTGAACAGAAGTCCTACAGCAGCCTTTCAACCTGCACTGTTTCCCCTCAGTACACATAACGTTTCCAGGTACTGGGCGGGGAGAAGCTGCCACAGTCGTTCTGGGGATTCAAGTTGTCTCAGTGTCTCCTGTCTGCGTGTGATCCCAGACTGGCTCCATGATGCTGAGAGCAGGGGTCCAGACCATCTGCTGCATGGCTCCTTGTTCTTCTGGTCTCTGAGTGTTTGGGCTTGTTGTCATGCTGCACTGACTGATGAGATGCCTCTTTGATGGGCTTTTGTGACAGACAAGAATCTAAAGTGCCTTAAAGGTTTTCTCAGTACTGTGTGTTTGGCCCTGGGTCTGGTCACTAGTGCAGCACTAGCCCGCTTCACATCAGCCCAAGAAAAGCGGCAGTGTAATTAATAACATTCATTAGGTGTGTCGTTCGCAGGATACTGGTGTTGTGCGTACTGGGTATATCAGCTCAAAATACATGCTGTTTAATGGTTCTGTTAAAGGAAAACTATGGTTTCACTTAAGAGTGATTTGGGTTCTGTGACCAGAGCTACGAAAGCAGAGGAGTTGTGATAAACTGTTGTTTTCCTGTAAGACTTTATAAAAACAACTCAGACTCTTTAGAGACCTTGTGCACCTACGGCTCTGCTGTGACTGTGTGTTCAGGTACACTCAGCTGAATGGTTGAATGTTGAAGCTGAGCCAGGAGCTGAAGGAGGAGCAGGAGATGAACCGCTGTCTGAGAGCCAATCAGATGCAGCTACAGACGCAGCGGGCAGAGGAGGAGTGCAAAGGAAAAGAGAAGAGTGAGTAGAGAACAGACTGCAAGGAGTGGGTTGTCTCCTAACCGCGAGGTTGGCGGTTCAATTCCCGGCTTCTCCAGTCACCATGTCAAACTGTCCTTGAGCAAGACGCTGAACCTCCAGTTGCTTTGGGTGATATCACCAGTGTGTGAATTTGTGAGTGCTTGGGAGTGTGAATGGGCAAATAGTGTGACAGCGCTTTGAGTGCAGTGTGTAGAAAAGCACTATACGTATATAAGTGTAAAACCATTTACCACACAAGAAATGATTTATTTTTATGAAGGGTCCATAAACATTCTTGATAAAGTAGGTTGGTAAACAATCTACTCTCACCAGCCACTCTATTAGGTAGACCTTTACGATTGTATGGACTTCAGTGTAGCACTTCCGCCTTAACATCTGTTTTTATGAATGTCTGTGTAAAATGTCAAGGCAGTTCATCTGATCTGAACAACGTGGTGGAGCCACGCTGATAGCATGGCTAACACTGTTTCTAAACTGCAGCCAACTTATCTTTGCTGTCTCTGTACCGGCACTTCTTGTTGTGTACCAGCTGACATGTGTGTTAATACCAATACATCTGCAACCAGCTACCATCTGCCACTAATATTGTCCTAGCAGTGAGTCTGGATTCACACGGTCGACCCGCTACAGGGTTACTGATTGCTTCAACATACTTGATTTTAGTGTTGTGGAACATTTCCCTCCTTTCCTTTAGCGGCAGCACCAGAAGTAAGTACAACTCCTTCCTGAGCTCCATCACACATATTATTCTGTTCCTGCAGCCTGGACGACACACATCTTCTGTCAGTATAGGTCTATTGTGAAGTGTTCAAACAGTATGTGAGAGACGAACCTCCAGAGAATGATCAGCTGAATGTGCAGCTGCTCTCGGCTTTACACTCAGCTTCATCTCACTGTTTGGTGTCAGACCACAGTGTTACTGTTAAAGTCCACAGGCTCCAACAGGAAGCAGCTGTGTTCAGAGCAGATGCTCTAAACAGCCCCTGTCCACGACCTGCTCAGCAGCAACCAGCAGATAGAGCTAGTTAGAGACCAGCTGGGGAACACAGTGGAGCATTTAGAAGCTCCAGAGCCAGAGGTTTCCCTCAGGAGGTGGTGGAGACCAACCCCGGGGCGAACTGAGAGGGAGCACTGGGCTGAGGCCCATCAGGGGGACACAGACACATGGAGCACGTTGATCTGTAGCTGCTGGAGGTGGAAAGAGTCGCCTGATTGCTAACAAGTTCAATTTAAAATATGTCTGTTATTCACAGCTTGTTTGCCCTGTTATTGCAGTTTTAAGAACATTTTTATCTCTGAAAGTTGTAGTTACACTTTTAGCATGTTTTCTTCTTGAATGTATATTTAAACTCTGTGTCGTGTGGTGTTTCTATAGGGAATCACAAGGACACAACAATAGCAGAACTGCAGGAGCAGCTGAGAGACGTGATGTTTTATCTGGAGACACGGAAGCAGATTGAACACCTGCCTCCGGAGGCTCACAGTGAAATCCAAGAAGGACAGACCAACAGCGCAGCCACCTCGTCGGACGTGGCTGGGAGCCTTCAGTTCAGTGTCTTGCCCAAGGACACTTCGACACGTGGACTGGAGGCACCGAGATTCAAACCTTCAACCTTCTGGTTGGGAGACGACTGCTCTACCCACCAGTATTATAGGAACCCCCCCGCCCCCAGCAGCACTTGGCCAAAGCAGGGAGGAAAAACTCCCTTTAATGGAAGAAACCTCCGACAGACCCCAGCTCTTAGTGGGCGGCCTTCTGCCTCAACCGGTTGGGGTGAGTGGACAGAGGAGAGTGAAAACAAAAGAAGAGGAGGAGAGGGGAGACACTCAGTTAGTGATGTGTAGTGGTGGCATATAAAAATAAAACAGAGCAACATAATTAAAGTACTGGAAGTCAGCAAGGCTTCTGCTGGAACTAAGTCAATTTAATTAAGTGAATGAATAAATAACTCAGTTTGATTTTTCCATAATGTCACACTGAGGCAAGTCTTTTTAATAAGCTCATCTGTTAAAACTTCCTCCAACGTCTGTTTTTATGTCTCCTGACAGCTCTTAACAAGTTATGGCACCTTATGCTCTTGTAACTGTTGGCAGAGACAGGAGTGTTAACCTCACTGAAGAAAGCTGATAAAATGCTTTTACTCCTGAGTCTAAGATAATTTCTGACCAGTTAACATTGAATTCCTACACTGAGGTAAAACTGAGGCCAGCCCAGCAAGAGGGGAGAGTTTCTGAAGAGCTACATGATTTCATTTCCAGGTTTCTGTTAACACGTTATGCTGAGTCACTGGGCCAGTACGCTGCAGCCTCCCAGTCCTGTAATTTCTCCCTCAGGTTTTTCCACTCTAACCAGAAAGATGCAAGTCTGTCCCACTTGTTGATTTGATTTCTCAGACTTTCAAACCCACTGTCTCGTGCTTTCATGTTTTTCTTTAACTTCTCTGCTTGTCTCCCTCCTCCTCTCTGTCCACCCCTGTCTTCTTCTCCTAATCCCGCCACCAGACCCCAGAGTACATCATCCAGGCATATAAGTACGGAGCGTTTGAGAAAATCCCAGACTTCATTGTTCTCACAAACAGGTTGAACTAATTGCTGCACTTTGCCCAAGTCCACACTGAGAGGATGCTGCTGGACCTGTTCCTCGAGGCTAATATGTGAGAAAATACTCAAAACACAGGCTGAATGATAGCGATGTGTGCCGTGGAGCCGAGTCCTTCACTTTGCTGTCGTTTCATACATCCTTTTCCAGTGTATTGAGTCTGGAGGAGACGGGTGAAGGCCATGTCTTTGTCTGCAGTGGAGGATGACATCCCCTGGGATAATATGAGGGACAACAGAGACCTAACAGTTTTTACCAGCTGGGACCCTAAGGAGAGGTACATGATTGTTTTCATGATGTTTTTACAGGAAGAGGCACACGTAGAAGTCCTCATGCTACAGATCCCTCACATTTCCCTTTCTGCTACAGATAGCTGACTGATGAGCACTGGCGCTGGTCTCTAGAGGAAGAGATCATGTGGACCGAGTATACGCTCTCTAACACTTCGACTCATCGCCTCTTTAATAATATCACAGTGACACAGCTAAGGGTAGCATGTTGACTTTCACACAGCCTTGTGAAGTAGCTGCTCTATCTGAGCAAGCTAGGATTTGGTTTAACTACCGGCTTAAATCGTTTTGTTTTTTTTAAACTCCTGCTTCAAGTTCTCTGCGAAGGAGAGCTCTTCGTGCAACCAATAGAGAAGTCCTCCACCCCCCACCCCCCTATTCATAAATTCATATTCAATAATTTAAAACTTCTCCTGGCTGCCTTTATGAAGGACATCAAATTGCTAATTGTATATGTTTCTACAAACTCATTTTAGTAAAAACCTGGATAACACATTTAAGCCTTTATGTTTAATGGGGAAATTTGATACACACAAAGCCAGAGTGATATCCCTTAAACCAAATAATCATCATCCTGCATTTTGAGGAAAATTGCAATGACAACCACAAATGAAGAAAATATTCATAGCTAGAATATGTATTATAAGTTGTTTATTCTTCTCTACTTATTTTTATAATTCTGATTATTTGTTAGTTTACTCTTCTCTTTAATAAGAAGCTATGCCTCACTTTTGTTTTGGTTGGAAGAGATGGTGCAGGTCGCCAGTCTATCACAGGGCTGACATGTAGACAAACAACCACACACTCACTCCTGTGTTTCAATTTAGAATGTCGAGTGGACATTCTCTGCCCTCAAGAGAATAAAAACGTATGCCAGGAATACGACTGGACGGACTGGACTCGCAGCCTTGGCCTCCATGGCTATAGAAAAGGACTTACTGATGGAACTGAGAGATCATCTTAATGACAGTCACTGAAGTCTTCCTGCGCAAAGAAAGGAGGATGAATTTCGTCTATAAATAAATAGTATCTCTGGTGAGTATGACATATTTTATTTCATTTTTATTATGTTTTTGTCATGTTATTAGATAAATATTGTTTCTGAACTGCTCCAGATGATGTACATGGCACAGTTGCGGTTGTAGTGTAGAGGTTTGGAGTTGTCTTAACTGGCTTTCTTGCTTTAGTAAAAATGGTATTCATCTTCAATACGCAAAATGCCTCTCTCTTTCTGTAATGCCACACTTTGTTATGCTGTGTTTTTGTATAATATTGGTGGTTTCTATAATTGTGACGTACAGTGGTGGTATTAAGAAGTGAATTAAGTTAGGTAAGTGCCCACTGAAGGCCCAGGTACCAAATGCACAGCCCGCCACTGGTAGAATATATATTCTACCTATGAATATTTTTTTCATTTGTGGTTGTCATTGCAATTTTCTCCAAAATGCGGGATGTTTTAAAGGTTTTCTTATACTTTACCATCTTTAGTAAATTAGCCAAAATGTTTAATTCAAAGAAAAACAAATTAATATTTGGTTTAGGGGATATCACTCTGGCTTTGTGTGTATCAAATTTCTCCATTAAACATAAAAGCTTAATTGTGTTATCCAGGTTTTTACTAATATACAATTAGCTTTTTATAAGAAGTGAAAGGTAAAACATGGTTTTTCACTGCTCATCCTGTTAACTGAAAAGCTCTCCATTTTGATAAAGACATCTTAAGAACATGAAAATCATTATACAAGATCGCTCAGAGAGAGCATGTACCTCCACCAAGGCAAAACATTCACTCACACAAATGGTCCCGTGTGGAAAATGAGATCCAGAACAACACAAAATGTGTCCTAAAATCCTTAATCTGGATCGGATCCAGATCATCTTTTAGGGTATGATAGGTAGTTATACTGTACATCCTACCTGAACATTTCAGGGTTGTATCTTCATTATAGGCCAAGTTATGGCAGACAATATGCGTTAAATGGGGTTTTCAGTGTCTCTGACAGAGCAAGACACGGCATTTCCCTGTGAAGCAGTATCTCTGCCACGTCATAATCCCCCTCTTATTTTTGTTTTTTCTCAATATTAGAAACTTTTCACATCAAACCTCCCTATGTGCATCACAATGGAAGATGTAGATTTCTTCGTAGCTGTTCGTAGCAAGTCCAATCACAACTACATGGAAAAAAAATAAACATCTTATAAAGGCCAAGAATCCAACCTGGAAACATTCTCAGCAGCTGCTGCTAACATAGGGAAAAGGGGAAATTCTTCAACTGTGTGCCTTTTTAACAACTGACATCAAGTTCATTTTGCCATGTTTGGATCTACTGAATTGGGTGTAAAGTAGCAAATGCTTTTTGAGGATTGTAGATGTTAATGTAATAATAATGAATCTGTGACCTTGAGAAACAGCTACCCACTATCCCCTGCAGGTATTTTTGTAATATTCTATATCTTTGTGGTAGAGAGAACAGCCATGGTCTTAATCTTTTTAATCCAGTTATGTCTTAAATTGCATTATCCCATTATCTTGGGATAATTGATTAACTTGTTATTGCTGAATAATAACAGGATGAATATCTTGTTTTCACTAGATGAAATAGGTGATTTTTCTCGATGAAAATGAGCTAACCTAGTCTCAAGGAAACGCATATTATCTTGATGTAACTGTATTTTTAGACACTAATAGCATGGCTTGAGGCACTGTTGGTCTGCATAAGTAATTATAGTGATTAAAAATTTAAGTCTTAACATACTGGTTTTACTTCCTTGTGATTCTTAAATTTCTAATTTTGGTTCACTGGATGGAGCCGTATGTCCAGAAATGTAGACTGCCCAACTCTGAAAACAACGTTGGTGTTTAAAATGCAGCCACGGTATGATTAGGTTTGCAAAAGGAGCATGAGCCATCTTCCTCCTTTCACTATTGAAGGTGATACCTCATATAGAGGTAGCCCTCATTAGGCCTTAGGGGTTCAGTGTACTCCTACGTAGTCACCTATCCATTATCTGCTGCTTTTCCAGGGTTGGAAAAGTAAGTAAGTAAGATAGTCCAGACGTCCCTCTCCCTGTTGACATGTTCCAGCTCCTCTGGCAGGATTCCAAGCTGTTCCCAGGCCAGTTGAGATGTCTAATCTCTCCAGTATGTCCTGGGTCTGCCCCGGGATCTCCTACCAGTTGCCCCGAAAGCCTCCAAATGAACATTCTCCCTTGTATCAGGACTTCACTTGGGACTTTAATGTCAAGACTTGAGATGTACTTGTTACTTGCAAAACAAAATGACCTAGCCTAAGATGGCACCGACGATGGCAGCCTTGGTTACTCACGCTCTCTTGTGTTTGTTGTTTTTCTGTGTTTTCTCGGTCTTTTGCAACCTATCCTGGATTACTTTTACTGCCTGTTTATACTGCTTAGCTTGTTGCTTGTTAATACTGCTTATTTTGTTATACTAGCCTTATGCTGGTTTACTGTTTACTTACCCCTTGTAATGGGATATGTGCATGCACATTGAGAGCCGATATACCAGGGTCAAATTCCTTGTGTGTCCGACACACCTGGCCAATAAAGCAGATTCTGAGAAATGACTTATTTGTTCCACCTCTGGCAATACTCAAAGTTTCATGATAACTTTCTTTGTGCTGTTTAATTACGAGTGACTGCAGTTGTCAAGTTGACCCAGCAGTGTCCAGATGTGTTCAAAGGTTCACAGGGACATGGTCACTGCAGAGACACCTTTATGCAGACCATCAGGGAGCATAGCTGTGCCTAAGGTACACAAACACATGCGTCTATGGCTCAACACACACAGGTTTTCTCTTGGTATTCATAAATTAGAAAGAAAAAAAACACCACCAGTGTCTGTGCACCTAGGCATTAAAATCCTTCTTGCAACATTCCTGCAATAAAATGATGCTGTGTTAAACTTCCATGAGCATCCACCTGTGTGTCTGACATGTCATTTGAAACCCTGAAAATCATGCTTCTTTTGGTTGTTTACCTTTTTGACATTATACAGGTTTTAGGAATTTTAGCTGTATTGTTGCTGGTGTTTCAACTAGAGCCTATGTGGAAATAGTCAATATGGTAGCAGTACTATATAGCTGTCTACATACACAAAGGTTATTCTATAATAAGAGTATACCGCACAATAAAAGACACCAGGGTAAAACTTGTCAAATTAGATTGTTGCAAATGAAAAATGCAATTTGCTAGGGATCACCAACATGTGCAGTAAACGTGGAGTCCCCGCGTAGGGAAGTCATATTTAACATTCTTTGAGTTCAGGATGGGTGGAAGTTTCTGCATGTCAGAAAATACAGTAGCATGTCTGTTGCAGAGCAGCTGACTAAACTGAATTTTTAATTACGTTCCAGCAACTTTGTTCTGTATGTACTGAGTGACAAAGATCCAAACAGATTAAGATGTACATGTGGCTGTATCAGCATAACATGGTTAAAGAAAATACGAGACTACTTTATTTGTGATCTGCTTCTCCATCATCAGATTTTATTGTAGACTCAGTGTTTGGGGCGCCATAGTAGTTTGTCCCATTGATGAAATAAAAACTTGCTGTGTGATACTGAGTGCCAGTATTTCTGTTTTTAGAAGAGTGTCCTCTTGTGGCGTAAGGAGATCTGTACAGAAGCATCTAATGGACATTATCTTGCAAAATGTATTGACAGGGAGATGAGCAGGAGCACAGACCTGTTTCTCTTGAGCCACTGTACTGTCTCAGGCCTTGTAGAAATCTGCTGAAACAATAAGCAAATGGAATATTACATTTAAATATGGTTTATGGACAGGGTGTGCAGGAACAACAATAACCACAACATGTACAATAGTTAAACAGGTGTACCTAATAAAGTGGCCGGTGAGTGTAAATTTAAACTATTGCACATTTAGTACGGGTTTTAATTATGACATTACCTAATCACATTTGACAGACTGGGATCTAAGTAAATGTTGTGAGATAAGCCAAGATTTGCGCTGTAGGAGATCATTTCAACGTGAACATCTGTGCCTTATTTTTTTCTAAGCCTGGAGTGATATCCGGTACAGCTGGAGATAAAAAGGCAAATTAATTACTTGAGAAGCAGCATCAGCATCCACTAGGACATAACAAACTGTCAGGAAAAGGGAGCATGAAAGGAAGAACTACTGTACCTTCACACCCATGTGATAAGGAACAACATTACCACCCTCTGAATGTAGAATAAGAATGGAATTAGTCAAGGTCTTTAAACTGTGCAGATGTATGAGAAAATGTTAAGTCAAAAATGAACTGAGTAAGATGACTAAAGTTCATTTAGCATCGTTGCATCATATTCTTTTGCACACTGTTCTCTGCACAAAGGCAATAGTTTTGAAATGTTACAATAGTAATAAACCCAGAAGTAGAATAAGCCTTTGTTGATCATACTTACTTGTTTTAATTAGAATTTTAGACAGCTGTGTTTTGTGGAATACAAAACCTGACGGATAAAAAAACATTTAAAAAAAAAAAAAAAACTGGCCTCACCTTAGTGAGCGGATGATTGGTTACAAACTCATCAATTCTTGTGTTTGGAGCTTTGAGGATTAACGCATCAGCAGCAGAACCTGATAATAAGGACAGTGAAGTACAGTAAATTTAACATTTCATCTCTTGCACTGAGCAGTTTTTACCCATCTGCCCTTGAAGGCTCTTATTCGGGAAGATTAGACATCTACTCAGGAGGATGGTGGGTAGAGTTATGTTAGGAAGAGGCAGATGTTTTGACTTATCACAGCGGGGAAAGTGAAAGTGTTACTAATAACATTAATGATGGCTCTTATATTCATGTGCTCCAGTAAGCCACAACAAGACTGTGTCCCACTTCCATAAGCTACTACATACTAACTGTACAATGTCAGTACTAATCCTTATAGAATACCTTTGCAGTTGATAGAAAAGAAATGAAGGCACTTAATTTTTTTTGTTCTAAAATGTCGTGTGAAAAAGATCTATTACATGAGGCCACTGGACTGCAGGATAATAAGTTTATAATTTATAATGAGTTTATAATTTGTCCCCCACTGACAGCTGCAGCAGTGGAAAATAATAGAGGTGCAAGTCAAACAGTACATGCCCACACATTCTTGAGATAAGGGGACTAATCAGTCATAATGAATTGTTAAAATCACTTGTGTGGAACTACAGTGATTATGCGGAGCCTTTAAAGATTTACACTCAACTTGCTCTCATTTGTTGCCACTCTACAAAAAATGTAAAGGAGTAGATTACTACACATTTACAATTCATTTTCTACTAATATTTTCATTTGTTTGTGTTAGTGCCATAGACAGAGGATGTTACTGGTTAAAGTGTCTGTAGGAGAAACTGACCCAGAGCCAAGGGAGTGTCCCCACAAACAGATAAGACTCCCTCTGCTTTGTTTCTTTACCCAGTGGTACAGGTAGAGGGTGTCACTGGTCAATCCAGCTTCACTTGGCTCCCCAGTGGAGTCTCCAAACCCTCAGTGAAAGACATGAAACCTCATAGTCATGATCGACAGGACAAAAAAAAAAAATCACTAACATGATATCTATATCTACTCTGATTAAGATGTAAATGTGCATCTTTGTTTTGTTGACACTTACTCATTGTTTGGGGACTCAGACCCCAACGTTGTGTGTATACTATTTTAACTGTATGTAATGAAGTTAAGTATCTGGGTCACGTTATAAATGATGCTTTGACCTATGATGGGGATATGTATCGGCAGTGCCACATGTTGTATGTGCAAGCAAATGTATTGGCACAGAAATTTGGTTCATGCTTGGATGGGGTAAAATTGACTCTATTTAGAGCATATTGTTCGTCTTTGTACACTGCCCATCTATGGTCTAATTATAAAAAAAGGCGGTCTTTGGAAATTGACTGTGGCTTATAATGATGCCTTGAGACTATTACTGAAAAGGCCTAGATGGGTGAGTGCCAGTGAATCATTTGTGTCATATTGAGTTAGTACTTTATCAGGTGTTTTATGAAACCGGATGTATAAATTTATCTGTCGCTTGAATAGCTCTGAAAACCACATTGTTTTATTTTTGACTAACACTGCACATAGTGACATGTGATATACATCAGTACTCTGGAAACACTGGTATACTTGCCTCTTAAAGAGATAGTAGTGTACTGGTTGTTGTTTTGTGGTGTTTTTTGTTGTTGTTGTTGTTGTTGTTGTTGTTGTTGTTGTTGTTGTTGTTGTTGTTGTTGTTGTTGTTGTTGTTTTATTGTTTGTTGTTTTTTATTATTCAGAATTTAGACCTTGAGTCTGCAATAAAGTTTCTATCTATCTATAACTTAACTGAGGCGTGAGGACATAACTTTTAATAGGGGATACTTTGCTACCTCTTTGTGGTCAGATATAAGCACATACACACATTGTACAGTATACTGTAGAACACCAACAAACTTAGGCCTATACTGTCCTGCACTGAAGCCACAGACATTTGTCTGAGTAACAGCATATGCCAACCAAAACGTTTCCACGCGTCAGCTGACAGAGGAGCTAACCAAGCTCATATGATTAATAAAAACCATATATGTATTACAAAACAGCAGATGTAACATATAAACAGATGAAATAGCAACCTCAGGCCTATAAATATCACGTCTTACGTCACCCTACAAATAACGCATGCGCAATACGAAGTGAAAGCATACGCACTAATATTCAGCGTTTACTAGCAGTGTCTAAGTTAACTAACAACAATCATGATCTCAGGAACATACGGAATATCGTGAAAAGGACACTGTTATTCCTTCACAGCCTAAAAGAAACACCAGATATCCCTGAAACTGATATTGAGCGAAAACGGAAGAAGAGAGAAGTGAAACCTCTAGGCTGGACTGTAGTTTTTAGAAGTCGTTTCAAACTGTTGTCAGACTCCGCGCACTTGCTTCCTGTTGACAGTGACAGTTAACTAAGTTGCTGATCATCGAAATACAATGTGAGAAGTATTGGGAAAGATACTCGAACCGAGGGCACGTAACAGCGAGCCCAGCGGACTCTGTGTGTTGTGCTTGTTTTCTACATGAGTCTGTTAGCAGGATGT